AGCTAGCTAGCTAGCTAGCTATATATACAGCTAGATAGATAGATAGATAGGTAGCTAGAGAGCTAGATAGGTAGGTACATAGCCGGTCAGCTAGCTAGCAAGCTAGCTAGCTAGCCTAGCTAGCTAGCTAGATCCCCTTATGTTTCGCGTTGCAGCGGAGGTGTACAGACACCCCACTGGCAGCAGCTGATGACGCAAAGAAGGAAAGAAGAGACAGAAAAAGAAAAAGAAAAAGAAAAAGAAAAAGAAATACAGAAAAGGAGAAAATAGAGTTAATTAAAGCTGCAGGGAGGTGAGGGTTTTGGGTTTATAGTGCTGCTCAAGCAGACACACATTTCTGCTGCTGCTGCTGCTGCTGCTGCTGCAGCTTGGTGGGTGTATGCTGGGGTATGCTGACTCCCTTCAGTGTCTGCTGCTGCTGCTGTGGCAGGCTGCAGCAGGGCTCTTTGCTGCTGTTGCAGCAGCAGCAGCTGCTGCTGCTGCTGCTGCAGCAGCTGCTGCTGCTGCCGGGGTATACCTTATGGAAATGCATGTAGGGTAGATACACCTCAGGCTCGTCAGCAGCAAACTGATTAAGAATTTCTCTCGTGAAGGGATCAAAAGAAGCAAATCTATCTGCTGCTGCTGCTGCAGCAGGAAGAGGAGAGAGAGATGGCTTTGCTGCTGCTGCTGCTGCTGCTGCTGCAGGGTAGAGACAGAGGCCCCTAAGAAACGCTCTATAGTCTGTGCTGCCTTCACAGCGAGGAGAAGCCTCTGAACAAGTTTTCTGCTGAGCACGCGCTGCTGCTGCTGCTTCCGCTGCTGCTGCTGCTGCTGCTGCTGCTGCTTCTGCTGCTGCTGCTTGCTGGCGCTGCACCTCCTCTCTGCCGAAGTACAGCTCGTCTAGGACGCTATTTATAAAATCAAAAATTATATTTCCGGTTGGGGTTGTGGGGCCGTCTGGTGTCTGTTCATATTCCTTGAATATTATTTCTGTGTCTTCTGCTGCTGCTGCTGCTGCTGCTGCTTCTGCTGCTTTTGCTGCTGCTGCTGCAGAGTCAACTGGGGGATCAGGTGAGTGAGAGGAGACAGGCGAATCAGCCGCAGCAACTGCTGCTGCTGCTGCTGCTGCTGCCTCCGTCTGCACGGCCTTCTCCTCTGTCTGCTGCGGAGCGCTCATAGTCAATGCTGCTGGTGCGAGCTGAGCTCCTCAGGTGTACATACACCCCAGCTTGTTGCAGCAACGAGGCCGCAGCTTTTCTTCAGAATTTGTGAGAGAAGTGAAGTAATGCTGCAAAAGAAGATGATAGAGAGAGAAGAGCAGCAGAGCATGCAGAGAGAAGGAATATGAACACACAGCAATCGACGTAGGTGGTGGGGGGGGAGAGAGAAGGATGCAGGGGATAAAAATATAAATGGAAGTGAATAGAGAAATAAATGAAAGTGTAAAAGGAAAAGAAATGCAGTTTCCGCTCCTAAGCTGCAGATACACCGCAGAGCTTCGTGCTGGTGGCTAGTCTGTATCGAGGGTCTGTCGCCGCAGCAAGGAGAGGATGTGCAGCATTTTGGTTGGTTTTTTTCTGCTTTTGAAGTTATTTAATGAATAATATTCATAAATTTAATATATTTAAATAAATAAATTACTTTTTCAAGGAAAGAAGAAACGCAATGGACACCCCGCTCAGCCCCAGGTCTCGAGAGGCGGCGTCGGCGAGACCGTTGTATCCATGCCTGTGAGTTGCACGAACCCATCAATAAAAATGAAAAAATAAAACATAAATATAAATAAAAATATAAATATAAATACAAATATAATTATAAATATATTTCTTACATTAATATGCGCTTGAAATCTCTGGTTTTCTCCTGGCGACATCTTCACTGACACCACCGGCTGCCGACTCCTCCGTCTTTGTTTCGTGTTTCTCTCTGCTGTATTTTCTCTTCTTTGCATGCGTTTTCTTTCATTAAATACCCTAAAAATAACAAATATAATACGCCATGGGCTGCATTAACTCCACTGCTCGACGGAAAAAGAAAAACAGAGGAGGAAATGTACAGAAAGCTGCAGCCGCCTTTGAGAGGGGAGCCGCGGGAGAGGCAACAGAAAGAGAGAAACAAGCAGCAGCAGAGAGAAAAGAAAGACAAAAACAAATAAATGAACTCAAAACTAAATCCATGAAAGAAAAAAGAAAAAAAGCACAACAACAAGTAAACGAATGTTTCAAAGATAAACCCCCTACAGGAGGAGCAGCGCCAGCAGGATACCGCAACTGAACCACCACCACACAACATGNAAAGATAAACCCCCTACAGGAGGAGCAGCGCCAGCAGGATACCGCAACTGAACCACCACCACACAACATGAATATGCAGACAAAACTAACATACATGACCTGCAGCTGCAGCTGCAGCTGCAGTAGCAGCAGCAGCAGTTGCAGCAGCAGCTGCAGCTGCAGCTGCAGTTGCAACTCACCATAGAAATAAATACGCAGCCCTGAAGCGCTCTTGGCTTTGCTCATGCAGCACATATGCAGCAGCTTGCTGCTGCAACCGGGGAGCTTTCCCCCGCCTGGCGGCTGCAGCTGCAGCTGCAGCTTTCCTCAGAACGCCGGGGAGTGCTGCAGCTGCAGCTGCAGTGGTTACTGCGGCGTCATTCTGCTGCTTTCTTCACAAAAGGAAAGCAGATACAGATCTCAGCTTTTTTTGACCGGTAAGGTAGACTTTTTTTAATGAAATAAAACATAATAATCCTTTTTTAGTGTAAAAAATTTGATTTCCTTAGACATTAATATACCTCCCTTTAGTATGAATATTCAATTCGGGATACAGACACAACAGAAAAAGGAATTTCTGCATTTATTTTTGAGGTTTCAGCATTATATATTCAATAGAATAATTGTTTTAAATACAAATAAGATGCAGATCAGCAAAGAGCTGATATAAAGATACAAATGAGTTCAGAAACCAGGAGGAAACCTGAACAGAATTTCACAAAAAGGTGCATGTACACCTGACGAGGCGTGCGTTTTCTGCACAGCTTTCTCGCGATACAAAAGGCATTTGTTTGCATGTTACTGCCATTTCTGCACTAGAAACAAATGAATTGATGAATAATTTAACTTGAAATAAAACTACTGATATATATTTTCCATGGATTCCCCCAATTTCCCTTCAGATTCCACTGAAACCTCAACGAAACCCCAGGCGAGGTTTCGGCCTCCCTGGCTGAAACCGAAGGCATCCGCGGGGGTTTCCGCGGTTCCCTTTCCTCTTGTGAGCAGTTTTTCTGCTCCTAAACGAATATCTACAGAAACACCGCCGCGAGAAAGCAACGAGATACCGCCAGAAGAAAGCTGTTCAGAATCTGCGGCTGCATGCAGCGACGGAGCTGAAGAACAACGC